AGAACTTGGAGTCTAGTTTGTCATGCTAACTGCAGTGACGCCATTGAATGTGGACACAGGGAGCAGAAGGTTCACAGGACCTCGGCTATTCTTATGCAAAATCTTCTTCTTTGGCTGTCCACCCACCGCGCTCCCAGCCACCTTCCAGGGATGCTCCACTTATGGGAACAAACTAAGCGAGAGGAAAGTACACATGAAAACACATTTAGAGAGAATCAATCAAGTTTTGAGAACTATAGTGCTGTGTTGTACTGAAAAAGCTAAAAGATGAAAAGAGTTTAGGAAAAAGACAAAAACCCAGGAAATTTCCTCATAAAATGTAGAGCAGTTTCCATTGCCATCATTATTAACACCTCTATTCTGCACTAGATAAATTAATTGACCTCATTTATCGCTGGATTGATATGAAATAAAAACTGCATGTAAAAACACAAAAGTCTATGCCAACATCTGAATGAAATCTGCATTTTTCTCTGTCAGTAGGCAGATGCTGCTTGCTGTTCCTGCACAGAAGTAAGCTGCAAGGCAGTTGGTGTTAAATCCCTTTAAAATGCCAAGTGGTTAAAATGTCAACCTATACATTTACCCTCTTTTGGTGCAAAAAGACCACATTTGAATGAATGCAGTAAGCCCCCTCCCACAGGCTCGAGAATGTGAATAAAAAGGTATTAGGCAAATGCATACATTTCTGTGTTCGCATATGAATTATGTGCTCAAACGTATGCACTCTATAAGGAGTCTCCATCTGCATGGGTAAGGGTGAACCCCACCCCATGCACTTGGAGCTAGCATTTGATTGAGTGAAAGCCAGTGCAGCTTGAACACTCCCTCTAATGGAAGACAGGAGCCCAGCACCTCAGTAATGCACTGACCTCAGAGCTTTTACAACGCTGCCAGCCGATAAGTGGCAATATGCTGGATCTTATAAAATTAAGCAGACTGAGGAGGGGAGGAGCGAAGAGAGAGAGGGTCACCCTATGACGGTCCTACAGCACTTGTAAATATCACTATGTATTCAGGGAAAGGCTTTAGCCGGCGAGTTTACGGTCACAGAAGCACAATTAGGAATTTATTCACCCGTTTTGTGGCTTTTTTTTTAGAGGATTTTTACAGTGAAACGTTTACAGGCACCCTTTGTGTTTGATAAAACACTCTCTGAGGCATTTTAATACCCCTGAATTTATGATAAGCTTCCTCGGAGGCTGCTGCTTAGGAAGCTGATGCAGAGCAGACCTTCAGAGTGCATGGCAACCAGCCAGGTTGGCTTCTGCAGGGCGCCACAACTTGGAACCTTGTTTCATCCTGGACTGTTTACAACAAGTCAAACCAACCAAGAACCACTCTCTACATTTTAGAAAGGATTTGGAAAAACATCCTTTAAATTTGGATGCAGATGAGCTGCTGTAAAGCAGTTTACTTTTAAAGTAAAAGTATTTACAGTGAAAGTACTATTATCAACACTTCCTGCATGTATGAGCTGTGGATGAGGACCCCTCTGCTGCAAACAAAAAATGCATTTTTATCTGTTTTTAGGAATGTTGAATTGAAAGATCTTTAAATGAAGGCAAAGAGATCCAGGTAGAATCTCTGGGAAGTAGAAACTGCCCTCTTAAACACTCTGCCTTATTTCTAAAGCTTCCATAAACAATATAAACCTGCAGGTTTAGCCAGCCAACACGCTGCATATTACGCAGTCGTCTTATTTCAACTCAAGGCAGACTTTGATTCAGGGCCCAAAATCCCATTCACATTTTTATTAGATAAATAACTAAATGAACAAGCAGAAATGATTAAACTGGCATCAATTACATTATTAATGCTAATTATTAAATTGAAACAATAAATCTTTTCCTCTGGATGTTTA